TTAAAGTTTTTCACGAAATTTTAGCACTAACCGTTCAGTTCCCAGGATCGGCTTTCTATTAACCTCGGCACTGGGCTATAAGTTCGTCGTTTTCTTTCTCGGAAATGCTGACCTTTTGAGCAATGCTGAGCTGAACCTTCACCTTTCACCACAGGTGAAAAAAGCGGCTCTGAAGAAGGAGATTCTGCTGAAACTAACGGCTCATTTGTGTTGGCGTTCTACACACAATCCCACTACGACTACAGGAGCTCTTTTCACTCCACTGTACCATCGGTTATACCTACAATCTGTTTTTTGTTGTTTTTGTTCACAATTCGCTTTATACAAGTTTGTAAGTTTTCTACGACTTTTGTTTTTTGAAATATTCTGTCCTTCTAAGGTGATTCCATGGTTGAGGAGGAGACGCGAAAGAAAGATGGGGCTGAAATTCTTACGTTTCACACTTCTAGTTCTAACTTAGTCACTCCTAGTTCGAGATCTCTCCAATAAAGATTATCATAAAAATAAAGTTGGTGAAATTAACGTGTTATTACTGACTTTATGAACTACAGAAAAAGTTTACGAATAGAGAAAAGTGAAGCAGAGAGGGAAAGAAAGAAAAGAAAGAATCGAGTGGAAGAAAAATGTTAGTAGAGAAGGCACGCAGAGCTATGCTTTTTACGAAAGCGCATGTGGCATGGGTTACAACATTGGGAAAAGTACGTCCTTTGTCATTGTTTTTCTCGTAGAAAAAACTTTAAGTATAACACATAATGTGTCGCGTCTACCCGTTATCATAAGAAGCGTTACACATACATAGTTTTCGGAGAAAGTACGACTTGTCTCGGATTATCTCTGTTGTCAGGATCACAATGGATCCTCTGTATCGTGATCAGCCCAGTATTGCTTTACATTCTTTCTTTGTTGCTCTTCTGAGACAACGATACACAACACGTGGTCTGGCCATCTCGATTGAACCAATCCCTGCTTTTTCCTCTAACCCACGCCGATCGCGAGAAAAGATTTCATTCACCATAGTCTTGACGCGGATAGTGTTAACATTCTAAGCAGATGGTGCTCACGATTAGATTCGATGAAAGGTCATTCATCTGATTCAGATTGACTTTTGCAGATTGACGTCTTGGTCACGTGTTTATTCATGTGCTTGTAAAAGTCTCCACAGCTCATTCCCCTGCTCGAAACTCCCATGTGGCATAACGGCATTGATCCGACGTTGGACTACGAAAAGAAATGCTACTTTTTCCACTCATCGTTTCACGGCGTTGTGATTCTCAGTGCATTTTTGAGATCTCACTGTAAACAATGTCCAAGTCTGCCAACATTTGCATAAACGAATCTTTTTCATCCATTTCTCTATATTAAATGCGATGATTCTCTTCTTTACTTCGCTCCACGCTTCTTTACCCGGTGGCAACTTTTCCGGTTGTTGTTCTTCTCGTTTTCCATCTTTGTTTCTCGTCTTTCAACATATTTCTAGATTATAGGGTTAGATTATAGATTATAGGGTTTTTCTGTATTTTTGATATAACGCAATCTGTGAATGAAGAGCTTCTCGTAACAAGCTAGTCAGCATACATTTCCTTATATACTGTATGGTTTCTTAAACAAAGCAATAAGTCACATTTCTGACTGGAGTAGCGTTCTTTCCCTCAAAATTGTTTTTCCATTAGGTGACGCGCTCAGTTTTCCTACTGCCGTGTGTGTTTTCTGCATCGGAAATCTTTAAAGCTAGAAATCATTCCGCCATTTATGATGGTCGTCATTTTTCATCATTGCTATCTTCTCATCTCGCTTTGGAAACTTCCGTGGAATGGAACCGCAAAATTTCTGCGAAATCATTCATTTTACTATTTAAATTTGTAGACAAATTCTTCACAAGTGTATTCCATCAATATGATGGAATTCGGGCGCATTCATTTCTGAAAATTACTTTCCTTTTCTCATTTTAGCCACGGTTCACATGGGTGGAGAACTAGGCAATGCTCTACATGCCTCATTAAGTAGCGCTAGAATGAAAGGAAAGACGAAAAAAGAAAAATTGCTAAGGAAAGGGTTTATTTCCTTTTCTTTTCTAAAAAAAAACTTCATTTAGAATCGGAGAATAGTGTTTCTTTGTTCTTTTATAACAAAGCGTTTTCTGAAGATCCACGTAGAGTGGTCGATGGTTGTTTACGTTGAAAGTGCTATCGTTAATCTCTTGAAAACACGGTCTTCATTAAATTTCCTCAACGAGAAAACGCCGTTGACCGAATTTACAATTGAATTTAGTTCGAATTTCTTGGCGTCAAAAGTGGGTAAGGTCCAAGTAGCGAACATAAGCTAGTGTTTTTGTTGATCATGTGGTTGTTATCCTATTGTAGTGGTTTCACATTTGTTTGCATGATTAGTTCTTCGAAATTCTTATAGAAACAGCTTGCAAACACCTGAGTAAATCGGCTCAGATTTATCAATAAGTTATCTCAGAATAGCTGATATATACAAATATGCAAAAATATTTCCTAAATGTCGTTTTCCATCAAACAAATTTCAAGCTAAAATTGCTAAAATGAATGAGTCTTCTGGTGACGCTTGCAGAGAAAAAAGTCTTCCCTTTTAAGACCCTCCACAGCTTGAAATTAATGACCTCACTTTGCCATTATTTACGATCGGACTCTTGTTGACTCTTTTTCTGAAAACTCCGTTAATTATAAAGTTCTTCACGGGTCCACCATCAAGTGGAAAGGATTACATCTTTTATTTGATGTGCTTTCACTACTACTATTCCAGTAATTGTTGATTCACACGAAACTTGTAACAGGTGCTTTGTTTTCCATACAGCTAATCTCAGAACCTTAGTTTTCTTACTGAAAAGGGATATCTTTCTCTTCCTGTGAATGTGTACTCTTTTGAAACAAACCTGATCATATGATAATAACGAAAGCGTTTCTTGCTTTCAAGCATTACTTCTGAGATATTTCTCTCCAGCTCAAATCCCCAGAATATTAATTTTCTGGAACTATGGAACGGTCCTTCCATATAGGACTAACTGCGAGTCATTTTCAGATGAAATTAGCTCTTGCACTATTCGTTTTGCCAGGAATCTACGGTTTTTTCATTTTCCAGTGGAAATCATTAGCAGTAAACCTGGAAATTGTTTCTGATGTGGCGCCTGGCCACGAAAAGAGGTAAAAGTAAAGAGAAACCTTTCAAATGAATGCTATTGACAAATGTTCGCAATGTGTTGTGTGAATTTAGGGAATTCTTACTTAGACGTAGCAAAATTTGTGAGAAGAATCAAGAAATGCGCGAATTTCAGATTCCTGTATTCACATAATTCCGAGGGTCCACTGCTTCTCTTTGTCACTCCATGTGGAGCATCGGTTCACTGGAGGATCTACAGTTTCAAAGGAGGTTAGTGACCGTAAATTTAAAGGAAGAACATCACCTGGAGAAGGTTTCATGATGGTTACATAATAATTATCACTTGTTTTCCATTGTCTAGTGTCTTTAAAATGTCTGCTTTGAAGAAGTTCATGTGGAGAATTGCAGAAAAAAGTCATTCTGGTTAAGGCAGTGTCGAGACTACACAAAGGGAAAACAATGACTAATGAAACTCTGGTGAAAAACTCAATGATTTCTTGCAGGAAATTTCGTTGTGCTTTAGAAATAGTTCGCGTAAAACTTGCATAGTTATATAACAACACCTTATAAATGCTTGTGATTGTTTGTAGAAAAAAACTCCTTCAGTCGACTTTTCATCGGCTTGGTTGAAAAACCGGGTGGGCATTACTAGTACATTTGACGAAAACAGTCTCATAAGCAGAAGTACAAAACGTGGAACCCCTCCAGTGCCTGTTGAGTAGCCCATAGTTGTTCTAGAGCAGCAAAGTCTGTTTCAAGAACTTGGTGTCATCCAGTTCTGATTAAAATAAGAAGCATTGAGGTTGGCTATGTGATTCTACTATTCATTCGTTTGGTAGAAAAGTACGAAGAACCATGAAGTGATTTTATCGTGAAGAAGGCGATATATGGATGAGAAAGAATCCGTCCTATTTATTTGTTGACGATCGGTGAACGATTTTGTCAGAAGAATAGGAAGGAACACGTAGGAAGTAATGCTTCTATCAACGAAAGAGGACCCATAGAGAGGATTATAAATCAGATGTTTGAGGGGAAACTTGTAAAAAAATCTCTGAAAACAGTTGCAAACTTATTGAGTGAAGTGTTAACGGAAACAGTGATGGTTATTTATACTAAACTTGCAAAAATTGGCTTACTCTGTTGCTTTCAGCCTTTCACTATTTTTACCATTGACGTTAAGCTACTTGTGAAGTACATTAGTGCTGTGAAAGTTGCTGCTTGCAATAATTACTTTGTCTGCTTTCTTACTTCTGTCACTGATTGCTTGTTCTACTTCAGTTTGCACCAATGTTTATCGCTGTTTTGATAGTTTTTGAAATCAGAGTGGAAAAGGCGGATTTCTCGAGTTGTGAAATTTCTGCTAGTCAGCCGATTGTGATCTGAAATCCAGGCCATCCAGCCTAAGAAAAGCGAAAATTTAAGAGTCACCACAATTTCCCCGACTTCTGTTAACAGATTCTTCTCTGGGAATCAATTTTGCACTTGCTCTGCTCTCAATTGCTACTCGTTCTATCTATTCGAGCGAGGCAGACGGTTGATAATCGTTTGCGAAAAAGAATGCGTTCTCACTCTGATGGCTAAATGAAATGATTTCTTTTTGCACCATGCAATTGTTTTACACAACCGTGCTAACGTTTTTGTAATTTTTCAAAGATTTCTAGAAGAGCTCGATGTTCTCTGACATCTAGAAAGCAGATTTCCATCTTTTCTCGAATCTTTCCGATTCCAAAATCTCCAAACCTATTGGGATACCAATTTGTTTATATCACCACCAAATTCCACCTCTTGAACTTGAGGTTTTGCTTACATCGCAGAACATTTAAGTAGGGTTTGCACTATGCAAGCTGCCATACTTTGTTACAGCTGTTCCTTTCGTTTACATGGAACACAGCATATCAAGGTTTGGCATAGTGAACACTGATCTTTGCGTGGTCAGTACTAGAATGATCTCTGGGTGTTGCGAGTTTGAGCCATTTGAAAGTATGGTAATCAATTTTCCATAAATTAAAGCAAGACGACTAATAGTGAACTTTTAGCCTTTTCTGCTGTTGAAACCAAGATACTCTCTGGAACGGAAGTGTTCTTCTGACGTCTTTGCTCTCGTTTTCGGTCTTAAGCATCTTCATGAGCGATTACTGCTGGCATATGGACGCTACTACATAATCAACATGGAATATTTGCGACGTAGACCGATGTGGGGTTCATAGTAGAGTAGTGACCACTCAATGCAAATATGAAGTGGCCTATATCTGCGTTTGTGCAGACGTGAACGCTTTTCTGGAGCTGTCTTTTTAGTGCAAGCCAATTTAAGGGCTCATTTGTTACTTGCGGGTTTCATTTCCAGTTTGCTAAATCGCTGCTTTTCATTAATTATTCCTTTGATTCTCCATTGACTCGGCTGAAGTCTTCTACTCACTCAAGGGAACATCACTAAGGTCTCTATGTGCTTCTTCATGCATAAAGTTCGTTATATGGATGAATTCGAAGTGCATTTATCTTACTTTTTTCAACGACAGCAAAAGCATACATATCTCGCTGAACTCTGCTGTTGGAGCTAAATGCACTCAATGGCAGTTTCTACGACAGTCCTGCATTAGCCGTATGACCTATTTGTTAGAGATGAAGATTAATTCTTCTAATGCAATTTCTAGCCACTTGATTCTATTCATTAGATCGAATTCATGTGCAAGACACACCCTAAGTAGGCCCAGGTACACTCACACATGTGAGAGCGCGTGTATCACAGTGGTGAAAGGTGCCCATCAATACATCCGTGATCATTGGTTCGATCCCGCGCTCCGAACTCATTTATCTTCCAACTCTCTGTGGTCGACAAATTGGTACCACACTTGTCTGTGAGGATAGCAGCGCCGTTTTGATACTTTGTATTGTCACCGCAAACCATTGGCACAGGCCATATATGCGCTCTACGGTGTCTGATTAAGTCGAACGATCAGAGCCGAATCCTCTATCCCTTTATCCTTTGCACTTTTTGCGCATCCATGAACATATCTGCGGACATAAAATCCTAGAATTGCGATCGGAAAAGAATTTATGTCACTTTCATCACTCTTTAATCACTCACTTGCAAACTGTTACTTCGTGACTGGGCAACCAAAATCCCCACTAACACTTACGTTTTCTATTTCTTGAATGTGTTTTATTGGCTTGGTATAAGACAATGTGAGAACGGACAGATTGCGTTTACGTGCTCGTTAACTCCATCATCGTCATGCCCTAGAAGCTCATACTTTCTATGCTTATAAAGAAATAACGCACCGACTGCAAAAATGCAAAGTGGCAAAAATGCTTGCAAAACCGAAGCCGTTTCGATGCTTAGCTTTAGATAATGATATGAGAGTTTCATCAGTCCATGAATTTCGAGTTCCCAACCCGTTTGTTGTGTTGGTAGTATGAAATTACTGTGATGGCCACCTTTGTGTTTTGCACTATTTATCAATCTGTTTTCTAATTTATTCATTATTCTATGGATTGGGTTTGTCCACATGGCTAGTTTACGTGGTATCTATGAATACTGCAGGGCTTTCAGTTAGTCATTGCTCTAGTCGTTAATACCAGCAAAGTTCAGACTGCAGTAATTTAAGCAACACTTGTGATTGTGAAGCTGAGCGGAAAATTCACGCATGTTTGAATAGTGGGATAAAGCGGACTCTCACCACGAATGGATTTGCTGTCACAGAAGAAAAAAGTGGGAAAATGCGTTCGTTTTTCGCATAGAAGAAATCTAAATGCTTTCGGACTTTATTGCGTTGGTAATCGTCGGAATAGATATAGGGTAAACACATGCATTTAAGCAGCTTAACATTTGCGTTTCATGGGACTAGCCATTGAAGAAAGATTATTGGATTTCTACAAGGTGCAATATTCGAGACTGTGGAAACCGATTCAGTTAGTGAAAGTAATGTTGATGTGTTCAAATTGAAAACGCTAATCGTATGACTGAGCTGGAGTGGGTAGATTTTTTTCAGTGAAACAAATCTCAACAACGTTATGTACTTTTCATCTCGGTGTGCACAGCAGGAATGTGGGTGTGGCATTATGCTAGGAACAAAAGGATAAAAAGGATAAAGCTCTCGGTGTTGATCAATTCCTGACGGATGTGCCATGCATTCGACTTCGCTAAGTATCGTTGGGGGTGATTGAATGCATATCTGGCCTTTACAATGACTCGCGGTGACCTGCCGATGTATCGAGCCACTTCTGCTATTCTCCCAGACAAGTCTGGTACCAATCTACCGACCCCGGAGGAATGGAAGGGTTGGTGGGCCATGGGCGTGGGAATCGATTCCACGTGTGTGTTACGAGGCGCATCCAACCACTGCGTCATGCGCACTCCTATGGTAGGAATAAATGGTCAGAAACAGAAAATTTTTAGGGAACTATGTTGCATTGAGTGATTTGAAAGTAAGTGCAGCGGAAATTTAGTCCATTCAGTGATATCAAGTCCACAATTGACTCACCTAGCTGATGACATCCCGATCAGATTAGAATTATAGAATCGATTTCATTCAGCGATCCACTCTTGCTAATTTTTCTTATTATTCAGTAGCTGTCTTTGGTAAAAAAAAATTGGTATATTTGGGGAGAAACGGGTCGCTCACATAGACCAGGTAATGAAAAGGTTGATATATAAGGCAATCAAACCGGTCAAGATTAACCATAGACGTCAAACGTCGTTGAGCTTATTTGAAAATTCGATTTTTCTTGTTGTTCTTCGTGAACTTGCTTGTCATTTTGTGAAGTGTTCTTTAGGAAGAACATATCTTCACCAGAGCCAGCTTTCTTGCAGCCTCGAACCTAAGCCTAACCCAACATGTCCCATTTCAAATACCAACCATTTCTCTGATTTCATGCACTGAAAAGTTGGCTGGAGAAAGCAGCGAATGATTAGTATATTTATGAATTAAGGACATTTGCATACCACAGAACACTCGTGCGATCTTCCCAACAGCATCCTTACGATCCGGATCTAGCCTATGTTGCTTAAATTTAAATTTGTAGCCTTTTTTCACTATTATATATTACAACTGTTATGTTAGCAGAGTTATATGTATGTGTCTTATATAAATATCGGCTACTTCCTTCCGATGTATTGAAGACAGCTTCCTAGGTGAAGATGAGTTCTCTCGCATCGATTCTCTGGATTCTCCAAAGCTTGAGTTGATCGCCGGTCAGGAAGACGATCGACGGATGACATTCTTCAAACAGAATTTCCCTAAAGGTCGGTTTCACAACCTTTTCCACATGAACTTCCCTTATTTGATGGATGCCACTGTTATGAAATACGATACATAAATAATAAATACGTCTGCGCAAAATTCCGCGAGGTCACATTCTCTACTTTTTCTCTAGGTTTGTAACAAGCGTCATTGTTAGAGAATGTGTTAGACATTGGCAAAATTGTCTCAGTTATCCTCGCATAGGAATCGAGAAGATAAGCGCACAAAACTCTCGAGGCGTTCTGGATTAATTCCAGAAATCCGAAAATGAACCGCAGGGAAGAATGCCTCATTATCACGCGTGATATTGGGCAGTATATAAGCCTATTATTTTGTTGGAAGAGGGATATTACGCTTCCATGTGAGTTCTGTGCGGTTGGTCTTCACGTTACACACTTAGTGGAAGCCTCATAGAAAGCGGTGAGTGTGAAAAGAAGCTATTCTGTGTTCAATGTGATTGAAATCTTGGTTTAGCGTTTTCTCTGTTTGGTTATGGAGTATGGAGGTGTTTGGCCGAATAGATTGCGGTCAACTTGACCTTTCCAGGCTCTGAGGAAGGCGAAATCCGCCGAAACGTCAGCTTATTCGTGAATAGAAAATAAAATAACACCTCGCGTTTGCTCAACAAGTACACGAGGAATGTCTCAGTTATGTTTGGCTTAGTACACCAAGAGGTCACCAACGCTCTAAGGCTCCGCATTTTTAACGTTCCTCGACTTTGGTTTTCTCATGATCACTTTCCATTGATTAGTGACTATCTCAAATGAACGATGACCATGTGAGCCATGAAAATTGGTGCAATAAGTGATTTACAAAGGGAAGATATCTCCAACACACTTGTTGAGATTGTTTTTTCGAGCTCGTTTTACAATACAAGAACTCGCTTTATGAATTAGCTGATCAGGAAACAATCCATTAACCCTACTGGTGAGACCTTTTTTCCAATAACTGCATGCTGCTTGACGCCGTCCCTGAGCTAGAAATCAAAGAATATTTCTTTGTTATACTTGCCTCTTGCCATATTCTTGGTCTAATCGACTATTCTTTAATTCTTTCTTCGTCTTTAACCCTTTGTTAACCAGATTGAGCTTGAAGAGGAGTGCCCATCGTAGAGCAACCTTACCTCATCAAACAAGGGAAATCACAGGAAAGACGTGCTGGTACTGCTGCTGTACCAGGCTTTAATTGAGTTCCCTTAACTTTATCAATACCGTAAATTTCAGGAATACTTTTGCTGGTGCTGACGGCGTCCACCCCGTCATCAGCTCGTCTGTTTCTGTCGCATTCCCAAGATGAGATGGACGCCTTCTATCCACCTCTACCTCATGACACTAGGCTGGCTTACGCGGTGTCGAAAGGCGATAGTTCAGACAGCAGTCAAGTGCTAATCACATGGAAGGTCGTCGAACGAATCAGGCAAGCCGAATTCCCTTAATCTATACATTTGATTACTTCCTTATATGTGGAAAAAGCTATTTATGGTGCATGAGGGGATGTAAGTGATGTAGAACAGAAAGATCTGTTTTCTATTCTTTTTCCTATTTTGTTCTGATTAATAAGCGTTAGCTTAACTACTCTGGGAAAATTGTGCGCACAACAAAGACGTGGTCTAACTTAAAGTGTATTATAAAATGTGTTATATGATTAAAATGTATTATATAAGTAGGGACTATTCCGAGTACTTGAATTCTCCCGTATGTGATTGATTGGGCAAATCAATCATAATGTCTTAGTCATGTGGCGGAGAGAGGGATAAACGCTTGCAAAAAGCGAATCAGGGGGACTTAGGAGACTGCCGTCTTTGATACTTCGAATCTACCTATATTTTCATGGAGATGAACCCATTCATGCATGTGTATCTGGGTCCGTTGTGAATGTGTGCATTGAATCCTGTGTTTTAATCGACTCAAAAGCTTGCAACCCAGTAAGTATAGAATGCATGGGACGGATGGCGTTCCCTGAAGGCTAATAAGCTCCACACATAATCTAGCGAAGTTTAATAGGTGTTCACCTTAAAAAGAATAAGGAACGAAGCACCTCAAATGGAAATGTCATGTATCCCCGACTCTCGAGCAATTCTAGGTACTTCTCTTGTTACACACGAATGGGACTTCATGGAATTAGAAATGATGCAGGCTATTCAAAAGAATGGTGTTCTTAAGATTTTGTAGTGATTTGTCGACTAGTTTAACTCAAACGACATTTCGCACTGATTTCGCTGCTGTTTGGTCTTGATGATGAGCAAGTAGGTGCAGTTGAAAGCACATTTCATCAAGCTGCTCTTCAAGAGAGAAAAAAGGAAAAACTTTGCTAAAAAGGCTGCCTTTCAATAAAGCTCTGCGTTATTAGTTAATATAAGTAGTTTCTACGAACTACTCTTCTTGAGGTGACAAGAAGTTGGTATCTTTTGTTGTTGTTGCTGTTGTGGCTCAATTGCTGATGTTTCGGCGACTTCGCCTTCTTCAGAGCCTGGACGTGACGTATGTACGTGTAAAGTACGTATAAAAGGCGTAAATAGTTATAAAATACGTCTAGCTTCTGAAGAATGCGAAGTCTTCGAAATGTCGGCCATCGAACCACAGCAACCTAAACAACAGATGCCAATCTCGAGACAGCTGAACAAGGGCAGTTGGGAGAAATTACATCTACCAAAATACTTCACTGTTCAATGGCAGAATTCTTTAGTTCTGCTGAGGTTTTCCTTGGCTAATGCCATAGTTCTGTTTCAATCCAGATGGATTTCCTAAAATAGATTTATGCTGTGAATTATTCCACTTATACATTGTACCAATTCTTAGGTTATTTCAAGAGTATGTATCCATAGAGGGTGGAATTTGTTCGATTTTTATTGTTTTATGAGTATAAGGGGGGAATATCTAATGACGTAGTATGCCGTATTTCTTCATTTGCCCTTTTATCATTCTTTAAATCTTTTCGCCTTACCTTCCATTTTTTAGGTCAGCCGAAGCAAATCGTTACCGTTTCTGTGCGATTGCCTCTCGCCGTATTCCTGATTGGGCAGTATGTGGTGAATTGAACGAGGGTTTGGAATCAATTCACTGTGTTCCGCAGACTAACAACTCAATAGTTATTCAGAATCTAAGGTGAAGAAGAAAATCATCTGAGCAGTGATTCAATTCGTTCAGTAAATCACTATTTGATTTTGGATCTGGAAAACGTTACTTCATCACTGTGTTCGTACGTGACTCATTGCGCGGTAGCACATCGTCCTACGAAACGCTTGAGGTGAATCTGAGGAGACCAACTGAGACCAGTACTATGATGGAGAAAAAAGTTGAAGTAAGTTTCAAGCGGCCGATAGCCATTCCAACAACAAACAGTGAATCCTTTCAATGGGGATTTCACTGGGGTTTTTCTAGATGCATAGCTCAGAAAGTATGTTTGAGACGAATTTACTTCACGACGCTATACTCGAGACTGGTCAGCTATTTCCACGTAAAGGATCATCTTTGGATTATCGATTTATAGTGTCAAATAATACGACGATCAGCAATAAGGTTAGTGAGCCCTACTTGTTTTATGAAATATTTATTTTACAAACATGATCTCAAATTCTTTTGAAGAAGACAAGCTCAGTAAGATGTGCATTCAATCAATGGCGCTTTCCTAGCTTAAATTCCCGCACTGGTTAAACTTACTTACTTGGACTTGGACGGTTCGCCTTCACGTTGTGCGGACCCTAGCACATTTGCCATTCGTTTCTTTCTCTTGCAATCGTACTCCATGGTGGTGGCCTTGTTCGAACACTTGTTAAAATCATTTTCAAAATGTAGTACCATGAATCTTTGCAACATTGAGCTTAAAGGGGTTGTTGTCCCTAAACAATTGGTAGGTTTCTAGTTTTTGGATAAAAATTTGGAGTCTGTTGGAGATTCCGGTTTTGAAATTATCTAAATAACAACCACAAGATTGCTGAGAGATTTGCAAAACTCCGGACCGCTGGTGTCTGTGGTGGGGAACGAACGCGCTTTTGTCCTTTCCGGGGAGTAACGCGTTCACCACCACACCATGCGAGTCCTTCGTTTCGCTTGTCTCTCAGCTAGTTCTATCGATCTTTTTGCCATCAGCAATCACCCGTCAACGGGATTGATCTGGGTATTTCGCTTAATACCCTGCCATAAAAATAATAGAAGGCAGAAAATAAAAAGGTAAACATTGTGAATTATCTAAATAACACTTTTTATTCCTCAATGCATTAACGCTGTCAGGATTCTCGAACAATGTCCACGCCTAACAACATCGTTAATGCAAAAGTCTGCAGATGTAATGAAAACTCGTCCATTTTATTATCGGACTGCATGCTTTTTCTGGAATATTGCTGCTTATTTGTCTATTGAGGATTTTGGTGTTTTAGCGATAACTATTATCATATCTTCAGCGAAGCCGAAATTGCATGCTATGCATTCCACAGCTAAAATTAGCCGTCGACTTACGTCAGTACCGGCGCAGTTGTTCAGTCGGATGCAAGAAAAAAATCACTTATGATTGAGAATTGACGAGAAAACATCTGCTTTAATGTACAGTAAGAAAGCAGATGCTACAGCGCCTTGGGCGGTTTCAACTTTTCAATCGTTTATGGTTGAAAAAATATTGATCGGAAATTAGAAAGAAATGATTGTTTGACTCGGTTGGCTTAAGCTTCCCGTGGAATGCATCTATTAGGTCTAATTTTAAATGGACATCAAATGGACAGCACAGCATTTTCTTATGAAGCTCTATTCCTAATTTTTTTTCTTATTTTGCTTATTGCTAACAAGGTAACCGAGGGTAGCTCACTAGTTCTAACTTCTCAGAAGTGCGTGCTTAGCAAGACATCCAAATGAACTTTTTGAACTTTTCTCAGCTTGGTTGACCAAGCAATTAGGTACGATTTTCGATGTATATAGCAGCCGGGAGAATCCCCTCTATCATAAGGGCAGACCACCTGAGACGGGACATTAAAAGATCTTTCTTTGAGAACTAGAAAGCATTAAACGCGTTGCTTAGTACAGAATTGACCATGGGGAGTCATAAAATTGCACGTCTATTTAGGAATTGAGAACACTGCCTTAGGTTCTATTGATCGTCCACGCATGTGAAGGTTACGTGCGAATGTCGGTGCTGAGGAATGGAAATCTGCTGAAGCGGAGCGAACCGTTTTCAGGCTTCAGAAGGTAGATCTCTACATTCAGAAGTATACAACTTTTTCATCGGTTCTTTTATTTTAAACCCTAACCTTAAAGAGCTCCTTACTTTCGCCATATCGATTTCGTTTTCACTTTTTCGACCTGCCATATTTAATATGTGCCCTTGTTCCAACTAATGTGTATTCATGTAGATTGCTTTCCGGCCACAACTGATACATTTACATGCGTTGTTTTAGTTTGTCCAGATTTCAAAACAAAATAATCGATCTGAAAAGAACAACAACATATTTATTCTCGTTCAACATTGAACGTGCAGAAAAAATGAGAAACATGTTGGAATATATAAATAACTTGTAATTTTCTTCGTATTTTTGTTGAGCAAACGCGAGGTGTTATTATTCTTTGTTCACGATTAAGCTGACGATCGACTTTCTACTGTGTAGTCTTCAAGGCTCTGAAGAAGGCGATGCTGCCGAGGCGTCGACTAGCTCTGTGTTGCAGGTGTTTTTTGTACGAAAGTAAACGTGTGCTGTATAACAACCTCGCGATTGATGAAAAAGAAAGCGATTTTCTTCGTATTTTTGTTGAGCAAACGCGAGGTGTTACTATTCTTTGTTCACGATTAAGCTGACGTTTCGGCGGATTTCGCCATCCTCAGAGCCTGGAAAGGTCAGATTGATAGCAATCTACTCGGCCAGACGCCTCCATAACCAAACAAAGAAACTCCAAACCAAGATTTCAATCACTTTGAACACAGCTTTGCAAACTCACCGCTTCCTAAAATAACTAAATAGCTTGTAGTAATTTTAAGATGGGGAGTCACTTATAAATCAACTTGAAGTTCGCTGTTGACTTCAGTGTCTTTCTAGGAATTGAGGCCCAGCTCACTGTTTATTGACTACACTTGATGCTTGATACTTGAATTGCTTGTCCTCACTGGTTGTGCGGGCCCCAACACAATCTTCGTTTTTCAGAGATTTCCTGGTTAAGCCATTATGGTTCCCTGCACTCCCTCGGTAACCTGGCCAAAGTCTGCCCTAGGTCTTCGCCACCACAGGCAGTCGCAGCCCTTGTGGATCAAAGGGAGATTTGCCACCATGCGACTTTGATACCAGGACGGTGGTGGATCCTGGTATTGGTCTACTCTTAGCTAGACTTCTTAATGGAAACGCTGGGCTTCTTCTCAGCTTGGGAAACCCTGCCAGGGTGATGAATCCAATCGCTGTACATGGCAGCCCGACACCTAGGAACACCTTCCAACAACGATGAGGCGGTAAACCGTTGGGAGATTTATTGCCTATAGGGTAAATACATAAGGTTCATTTAGAGCAACGAGTTGAAATTTCGTCATTTCATCAACGCACGAAAGAAATTTTACTAGCTTTGCTTTTCAGTGCTATTTTCACAATATCGGCCGTGATTAGACACGTTGAAACTTTAAAAAATCGCCATTTTTCTTATATCCATTTGAAACGTCATTTAATCTTTCATTGAAGCCATGTGCTAATTCTACAAAATAAAGCACATCAAAATACAAATCCGATGAGTCGTTAAGATGGCATAGATTTCTTGTCAGGAAATGCTGACAAGTTTCACTTTTCTCATCGTTCTCCATCGATTTTTTCCAGCATTCTCTGTGTTACCTCCTACTTGTTGTTCCTCCGTAAAAAATTCATGCCGATATTGGAACCGTTTTGCAGATTCCTCGTCGTCAATGTACACTCAGGCCAACTACGGTTCCAAGTCACTAACGACGATTCGCAACCGAAGACAATTCACCTTTGGGCGAGCACTGAAGCCGATAAGTCACCATATCCAAAATTGCCCGAAGACACAAGGTATGACATTATAACAGCCATCTATAATTTGACACCGATAATCGTAGCATACTCATACTCATCTCTTGCCATAAAGTAAAGAAGGATAAACCTCTCGGCGTTAACCAATCCCTGCATGTGCCATGCATTCGACTTCATTAAGCATCGTTTGGAGATGTTTGAATGCATATGTGGCCTTCACAATGACTCGTGGTGGCCCAACGATGTATCGAGCCCATAATGCTATCCTCACAGACAAGTCTAAAACTAATTTGCCGACCCTGGAGGGATGGAAGGCTTGGTGAGCCATGAGCTCGAGGATCGACTCATGTGTTTTGAAGGGCGCCTCCGACCACTACGCCACACGCGTCCTTAAAAGAACAATAGCTCTCGTGATTTTGCCTGGCAAGAAACATTAAGCAGTCTTTAGTTGCGCTAACAAAAAGGCCATGTGTTGTGCAACACTGTGTTAAGATGGGAATTATGGATGACCTTTTTGCTGTGAACATCAGAAGTCGCAACTAAAGACTATATACTTTTGGTGTTTGGCCAATATTTCACACGTCATCGTGAGCACTAGTGGAAGAGTAGTTAGTGGAGGACGAACAGCTCTCTGGGGATCACTTTGTAGAAGCCGCCGTTTCTGGTAAGCGCATGATGTTATCTGGGAACCTTTATATAATAGACTAGTCAAGAGCCAGTGTATATTCCTAAAGCACCATTATATATATATATATATATATATATACTGATATGTGTATATATATACAGAAATATATACAACTAGTCTAACATGAACGGATGGGAAGTTGTAGTTTTTTTTGCTTAGCCAGTTTATGCTATTTTGACGTAACAAACTTCACTTTAATGGAGGTATTTTTTTCAAGGAAAGATCTGCTCAATTTTCTTATGCAATAATAGTATTGTTACCAAACTGACTTCCACATAACCTCAGCGTGAATAATTAATAAATTTCTTTAGATTGTTCAGTTTACTGGGAGTTGATAAACGGCTTTATTCGGTTAAGCTTCCGACAACATCGCCTTCCTCAGAGCGGATGAACCAAGGCGATGGTTAACACTCGTTTGTCTCCTCGATGTGGTGTCTTCGTCATCGTATCTAGTCTTCTTCATTGAAGCTCCGCTTGAATGAAGCCCCCCAGCGCTCTTTTCTACACGGCAGTCTTGATGATACTCATTACCTCTTGATAACAATTTGTTTTCAACGGCCAATTCACACTGCAGAAGTCGGTATTAAAATGGCTACTTCATAGCAAAAATAATCCTGTTACTAAACCGCCCTTCACGTAACCTCGGAATGACTTGTCAATAAATTTGTTTGGATCGGTCGGCTTACTTGAGGGTGTTATACGACTCTTATTCGGTTTATATTTCGACGTCTTCATATCTAGTCGAGTCGCATAATAGTATTCTGCGAAGACACAAGCTCGTAGATATTCTTGGCTATGCTTATATACCATGCTTCTATATAAATAGTTGTGCGGGCCTTAAGGGATGACCTTCGGAGCTCTAGCATTCCACCTTATATAACTGTAACGCACTACAATCTGCATATGTAATATCTTTTCACCCGTCTTTCTTATAGGGACTCGGAATAAATAAGGAAATAAGGAAAACTTTCCTATAATGCTTGCTTGGTTGAGCTCTGTTAAAGATTCGTAGAGCACCAAGTACTCGTTAAGTGTTAGTGTTCACTGTCTTGAGGCCATCATCTACAGGGGTGATTGCATTAGTGTGTGAACTACATTGTGGTTTGAGGATCGGAAAGTTCACACCAACTCTGAAAATATTTTGCTTGTATGGACATCTCGGTCTACCGTTTTCGTGATTTAGCTCGAGTTTGTTTCGATTCTCTTGGGATACGTTCTTTTGTTCTGCTTTTCATCTTCAGCTCTCTCTATCACTATGTCACTCTCCCATTGATATCCATTATTTGAGATGTCTTCTGCTTGGTGAAAAGACGGAAAATTCTTCAAAAACCTAAACTACGAAACGATGCTTAGTGTTCAGCGTGCAGATTCACCTTAAGAATCCGTCGCTCGAAGTTCTTAAGTTTGGCTGAAATGTTAACGCATATTTCTTTTGCATAACACGAAGCTGGAAGATTTGTTGCATAAAAAAAAGAGCGCGTTGTTCCGAATCACTATTAAGGTGAATAGTGGTCTTTGTCAGGGGATCGAGAGAAGCTGAGATATACGTGGAATGTTTGTCTGTTTAACTGGTAATCTATCCAGGATAATCAATTCTGCTTAACTCCAGGCTTTTTTCGACTGACTCATAGTTCGATTTTCTTCCTATTTCATTGATTTCTGTGGGCATAATTTCTGTTTCCGAGGTGCTGCTCTGGAATAAAACACTGTTGTCGTCAAAAAGTGGTGTTCGGAAAAATAGTTTATCAATAGTCTTTTTGAGTGTTATCTGAGTGACTGAATTCAATTGTACACTGTCGTGTTGAACAGTTTTGCGATATTATGTGACCTTATCGAGCTCGTTCATGAACTTGAATAGTGGTTGCGTGATGGTCGGTGAAAAATATGTATCTGCGTTGTTCGATGACTGTTGCAATAAAGTTCTCGGCGTTAATCCTTGAGGGATGCGCCATACATTCAGCTTCATTGAGCGTCGTTTGGAGGTGATTGAATGCATATCTGACCTTTACAATGACTCGCTATGACTTGCCGATGTATCGAGCCAGTGTTGCTATCCTCCCAGACGAGTCTGGTACCAATTTGTCGACCCTGGACGGATGGATGTCTTGGTGGGCCATGGGTACGGGGATCGATTCCACGTGTTTGTTGCAGGGCACCTCCGACCACTGCGGCACACGCGCCATTACTGTTACATTAAGAAAGCTTTTTTATTCAGAACGTGTTTATGGTCTTTCGAGTTGATGTGCAAATGGTTTATGCATTATGAAATGCTTCCTCGTAGTCGACGAAAGTTGGAAGAGGAAGTAGATCTAGAGACTCCTGCTAATCCTAGAAATATTAGAGCTTCTATCTAGATGAATCCTTTACGAAATCATGTTTATTCTGCAGATTAGACTTTATCCAATTCTTTCAAAATGCTCATTTAGGGCAATATTCGTGAAAGGTTGTAAAACGCACTCATTAAAGAGGCTAGTTATGAAGGTCATCAGTACCACATTTTTTGTACAATGGTGCGCGATGTATTCTACAATCTGTGTATTTGCAAATATATACAACAGGCGTTCCGCATGTAGGTGCTAATCGCCAGTTCGCAAAAAATTGGCCAAAGTATGGTCTAGTCCTTACTAGGTCCTAAGCTTCTAAATATTCTTCAAAGTTTTGTGTGAAGAATGGTTATTGATGTTTTTAAGTGGGGATGACGGTGTTTGGCACAAGAGTTATGAATAGAAAAAATATTGCATATAATCTCTCAATCATGGATTTTATCTAACAGTGAGAATTTATGACTTGCCCACCTCATCGAATAAAGAGCTTACAGTGTAATGGTTCAGAGACTTATGACACAACTGACGTTAGATCTCACTGTCTACTGTTTGTTTTTCTTTTCACGCGATGACAAGATTTTTTCTTTCTACTTCTGTTCAACAAATACGAGGTGCTATTTTATTTCTTTATTTACGTACAAGCCGACGTTTCGGCGGATTTCGTCTTCCTCAGAGCCTGAAAAGGTCAAGTTGACTACAATCAACACGGCCAAACACCTCCATAACCAAACAGAGAAAACGCTAAACCAAGATTTCAATCACATTTAACACAGCTCCGCATACGCTCCGCTCCGAATTGTTCAACCAATGTCGAGGTTAATAGAAAGTCGGACGTGGGAGTTACTACAAGATTTTTTTCTATTTTATCGTTGAAAGGACCGTTCAAAAGAAGAAACCTATTGTCACTGTCTGATGCAGAATTATGGAGCACCACCGATGTCGCACGAATTCCGTTTTTGGTCCACAAAGATGTGGCTGACACATTTTCACATAAGGCACCAACTGAGTGTTTCCACATCTAGTGCTGATAGCCTTTTTTCTTGAAAAAGGAATCCCCATGGAAGAGAGCAGCCGCAGCGAATAGTGTCACAAGATGGTACCCATTTTCGTTACGATGTCTCATCCGAAAATTCGAAGTCTGTATTCATGTTCTTGCGTCCTATCTATCAGTAGGTTGAAACCAAAGTGATAAGATGAAGTTTCCAGCAAGATTTTTGGTTACGCCCCAGTTCCAGAAGATTTCCGTTAAGCCTATCGAGTTCCGTGTCATCATCAACCTGATGATTAGTTGTTAGTGGAACTTATTTTTTTCCAAAAGGGAATTTCAAATTGCACGATAGTAAAGCGGACATACAGAATTTCATAGGAATAAACCAACTTGGTAATCGTTGGGTGCAGGGCGAAATCAGCACCACCAAAGCTAATCGATCGAATTTATCACCTAGTATGATAAGAATTACATGATTCACTTGCTGGGCGATACCATTTGTTCCCATTTTCTTGAAAGTTAATCGAATGGTATGTAATACGGTCTGGATCATCTATAAGAACATGGTGGTCATGGTCTGAAAAGACTGATCTGGTATTATATCTACACATTGGGAAACAGTTTTCGTGGCATTTCGTGCTTGTGTTGTTGTCTATTAGATTGAGTACTACTGTTTTTTGACATGTCGAATGCTAGTCGAACGTGGTTTTTCTTTGCTAACCGGACTATAGCGTTCTCAGGTTTTCACCGCAGGCAGTCACCAAGTTTATGGGTCAGAGAAAAATTTTCTGCCTTGGCACTAGTTTCTTACTGAGATGGCAGCGAATGATTAATTCACCTACCGTTCAACCTGTTCGAGTACGATGTAAGCTCGAATAACCAACTAATAGTTGAATGATATTAAGATGACGAAATGATGAGTCATATTCTTGCCATGGAGGAAATTGAGAAAAAGTTAGAGGTATAAAATGATCAGCTTGGTTGGAGAAGAATAAGAACGCTTATGCTTCACTCCACTTTCAGCGTAAAAGTGCTTCGTCGCACATGTTCCACAGCGACGTTGCAGTGGTTGCGATCAGCGGATGAACATGCCGAGTACTGCATCTACATGCGTCGCGAAAACGCCAACTATTTGGAAGAGCTTGTTTCCAAGGTGGGTTCTGTCGATGCTTTCGATTCATCGGAATTGTTCGCCACAATCGCAACTAACATACGTATAACTTGATCAACTTATTCGGTGGTTCCTAACGCTACATTTTGAAAAACAGTAAAGGATCGAGATTTAAAACTTCCAGAACCCCTTTAATTCTTGTGGATACGTTTCCAAACTTTTTCATTCTTCTTATAAACAGCGATTGTTTCCAATGTAATATCAACGGTCTTGCGAAGTGCACAAACAAACAGTTTCTTGTCAAACGACATCAATTAGGTGAAGCGGTGGTTACCGTTGTCATATATTTCACAGTTGTTGTATAGCAGCGCCGTTCCACTTACTTTTCTTTCGTTGAATAAATTGCATTCCGATGAATAAAACGCGTTGGACCGAACCAGTATACGAAATATCTTCACGCCTCAACTTAATTCTATAGGTTTGTTGGAATAGCTTCAAAGAGGAGAGCTCATGGTGGACGAAACCGTTTTGCAGTACGAGTTAGGCTCTTTCTTTGAAACAGCTATCAAAATACAACAAGATGCTGAGATATTTGCAAACTTAATCGTGTTCAGTGTCGATTTGTGCTCCCCAGGTCAATACCGTTGACAGGTGATTGCACTGATCGATAGAACTAGCTAAGAGACAGGCGAAACGAGGGATCCACATGGTGTGGTGGTAAACGCGTTAGTCCCGGAAAGGTTGATAGCGGGTCCGTTCCCCATCGCAGACACCTGCGGTCCGGAGTTTTGCAAGTATCTCAGCATCTTGTGGTTGTATTTCGCAAAATACCTGCCTTTAAAATTGTTGTAGGCAGAAAATAAAAAGTAAACACAGTTGTCAAAATGTTTATAAACGCCGTCAAAACAGAATAGGGTTTTGGCCAAGTTTCGTAGTTGGAGGTGTTGCGGTGAATTTTTCAGTTTTTTCTATCGACCTCTACCTCAATGCGACACTACTTATACGGCTGTCTATTTTTTGAGGTCTTTTCTATGGACAAATCCGTTAACTTTCTTCTACCACCGGCTATTTATAGAAACTATTGATACGTAGATTCTGATTAGCACGTAGTGGGTATAATGGTCAGATAAGAGATCCATCATTAGTAGCCGAATTCATCCGTAAATCCAAACCTTTTTGTCTTCTTTACGAATATCGCGGAATGCTATTCGAATGGATTCTCCTTGGAATCTCAGAAAGCCATGTCATTGTGTTCCTAGTTTTCCCTGTATTTATGTACTTCTCATTAACCGAGAAATTCATCGAAATTTCTGTGTGGTTTCTGCTATTGGCTGAGGGTTTTCATCTTCTTCATGAATTTCGTTAAATAATGCTTGAATCGATTCTTTCTTCAGTTCTTGCACAGCCACGTTAGAGAGTTTCAAGATTGATTAAACGGATTGATCAGGTCTCAGACAAGTGTGGCATTAATTTCCGAAGGATTAGAAGCATGGTTGGTCATAGCCAGCTTGGACCCATAGCCTGGTTCGACACAAAGCAACTGGATATTTTTAAAAAATTGAAAAATGATCTGAAGATCGGGAAAATGATTAATTGATAACCCAGGTCTTATGAATAATGCGGCAGCGGTATCACACTTTTGCAGTTTCCTTGCCTCATTCTGGCGTAATCGAATTCAGTGGTAAGAACACGAACACCAAGGTTCCTTCTATAAAACGGTTGCGTTTTTTGATCTTGAAGCACCAATTTTTACCAAAATAACAGTTTTTACTATTTCCAAGAAACTGTGGTTTCTACTTTTATATCTTGTTCTTCGCTTTTCTTATCTACTTGTTATCTGAATGCCCTAGGTTTACGAAAACCATGTGCGGCTTCTGTTTCATCACGTAGCTTTTGGATTTCTGATTTGGCAAAACACTTCCCTGTATTCTGGAGAAACAACCACCAATTCGCTCCTGGCTGTTTTTTGCATTTTTACGATTTCTTGCAGAGAGAACGGAGTAATCAGTAGCGTTGGTTCACTAGTAGCCGTTTCTAAACAGAAATGGTAACCGCCTGATATTAAGTGACACTGTTTGGAAGATGAAGAGCCTGTTGTGTATCGCAGTTAAACACCATGAAACACCTCGCTGCGATAAAATGGGAGTGTTTTGGAGATGGAACACTACATGTGATGGAAACATAGGTTTATATGAAATTGATTAGATGCTACATCATACAACATTGTAGTAGTGAAACAAGAAAGAAAAACTTTGGGAAAAGTTTAGACGAACTGTTTTTTTTAAATACAATGATTTTTAGGCGAGCAACTTATGCGAAGGTGGCCTAGAGACGTCAGAGCTCGTCGGCTGTTACGCACATCGTGGTCCCACTATTGAGGCGATGTTAAACAACGATTCAATCGGTCTTATCGAGACTACGATAGTCGGGCTTAGTCCAGCTAAGACATATCGATTTGACCTGCTTGCGACGCCTCTTCAGCGCATTCATGCCCAGTCGTTACCCTATCGGACGGTTTGGGCACGTACGACGAATTCGTGTTGACTGTGGTAACACGGATATTTGTACATATATAGTTGTCAGTTGTCTACGACTGCGACGAAAATGCGAGGCCTATCCGAAATATAGCCAACACTATATTGTATAGTGACTAATGTGTTGAGTTAGCTCCCGCTCCTATGTTTAATCTTTCTGTAAAATATTAATTTCCTCTTGATTGTGTGTTTTTTATTCGACTTGTCGACTATCTTTGTGTGCAACAGATTTCCAAACACTATATGAGCTGTTCATCGGTGTCCAAACCCTTCTTTGTTCGATCTCTTGTCTTTCATTTATTGATATATGAGTGTATGACGCTACTTCTCTGGTTGTCGACGAAGACGGCTGTAGCGATATATGACACTAATACCGGTACTTCAGTAGTAAACGATGAGTGTAGAACTTTTTCAATGACACATTTGAGAATGTTTGTAGAACTTGAGTATAAACACAAATGCGATTGAGTATATGAGATTGTGATTTAGCACTTAATAAGTATAATATACATAACTAGACAGTAATCCTATGAGATTCAATGAGACTCGAACTCAAGGCAAGTCAAGGCACATCATTTCATCTGCACAAAAGCCACATTGTTCAGCGAAATTCAGCAGAAATTATTATTCAAAGATGGGAAGGAGTTTCGGTTATACTTCATAGAAAAGCCAGTAGCACTGAATTCTTTTCGTATTGGTCACATAATGTGTGCAGGGAAAAATGGGCATCATTTTACACATGCAGTTTTACATATACATTCTACACGTAAATTCTCATAAAAATTTCACATCGTTTGAATTTGGTTAAAGTGGGACTTCTATCCCTCTTATATTTCCGAACAATCGATGTTAAGTAGATAAAACTACCAAACACTCCCCGATTTTCACCGAAGGTTGTGCGATAACTTCTTCGTTTAGTTTCTTCCGAGTCTATTTACACATATGGGGAATTTCTTAGAATATCATAGCCTATTATACACCCAATCTTCACAGAATAAACCTTGAGACGGGAAGCAATGCATGGCAACTACATTCCCCTCCATGGTATCGTAGTTACAGCTGCAAACGGATACACTGGAGTCATTGGCGGCAAAATTCCAGGTTGCATTGTTGACATTTTTAGATTTTGTTGGTACTGTAGCGCCAACAAATGTTGAGTCATAAAGTTGAAACTGTTTGGCAGTCGATGGTGCGGTGCCAAGACCGACATTCTTGCGGGTGGAAAAACCTGCAAGGTATGTGGCGTCGACGGAGGAGGCACTGGAATTGTGCACAGTTCGGGTGCCATAGGTGGACTTGGTGACTTGTTGCGACGTCGCTTAGCGGTACTCGGTCCATCGGACGTTGATTCAGCGCTGGAGGGAGACGGTGCCGTTGATGTAGGATTGGAATCGCACGCCTTTGTGGGTTGTGTTATTCCATCCACAGAACCCGCGACACAAATCTGAGAGGCAGAATCTGGAACATCACCCATTTTGTATTTTGCTACAGGTAAGGTTAGCATTGAAAGTTTAAAAATTATACTTTTCTCATGTTTCTAGAAAAGTCACCTTACTACCAACATCTCAATCATTAGAATTCATTTTGGGTACGTGCGAAAGGAGAAAATGGCTTAGATATTTTTAACCTTGACTAAAATTTTCAAGAGACAAATTACGGATAATCTCTCACTGATGCTTTTTGTTAGTTTATGGCGAAATATTCGTCATGGAAAATTCTAACAGTGAGGTGAAAAAACCATGAAAAATGACTGATAGAAGGGGGGTAGTGAAATATCAGTATCACTGTTAAAGATGATTTCCACAAACTCACGACGTTTTTACGAATAACGGAAACTGTTGAGTTAAGTGCTTTGCACTTCTGCTACTCCTTTAGAGCAAAGCCGACCAACTAAAGGACATTCCTCTTTCAAAGTCGCAAAGGATTGTACCAACAATTCTGAGTGGAAGCGTAAGACTGAGATAGGGAGTGCTCAAAATAAAGAGTTACTCTCAGAAAACCAACCAATAACCCGTCTTATAACCACTCGATGGAGGAAAATTACGTGCAACGATAAACTAAATAACAAACGAAGTTGATTTTTTCGCTATAAATCTCTTTTATTCCAGGAAAATTTCGGATATATTCAATCTATTGCTTTCAGCTCACAGTAGCTCGTAGTTTCCAAGATATACTGGAACATATTTCACAGTAGTTCCGCATTTCTTAGGACGACAAAGCACTTAACTCAACAGTCAATCTAACGATGATTGATATGCTCATTATTTTAAAAACAACTGCCTGAATCCAATTTATTTAGTAGTCATAAAGGAGATTAGTTAAGAAGAGACCTACATTCTATTCCTCGTGGCGAGCAGAAGAGAACATTATCAGCCGAGGTTTCTTATATGCAGAATGTCTTTTAAAATCTTAAACAAGGAAAGTGGGAGTATTCATGGAAGTAACTCGTAGTGTACTCGCAAAAGTGAAGACGACATTCGGCAGACACGATTCGAAATACTGTACTCATTAGGACGACTGCAAGTAGTAGAAGAATGTCGAATCGTTTAGACAAGTAAACTCTGCCCATATTAGACGAAATTTTAGCCTTTAGACTTAACTCAGAGAAGATTGCACACCGCAATGTGGTCCATTTCGGTTCAAAGAGAGGTGACAAGGAGATAAAGACTACGACTGTTGATCACTTGAACGAAATCGTCCGGTGTAAGTATTAAGTATGGAATTTGAAGAGAGAGTAGACTGCGCACAGAGCATGAAGCCTATCACAAAATTCCGGAAAGACTAACCGAGCAGAAAATAAAGAAGAGAACAATGAATTCACTATGGGTGTTTTTCTTCCTAATTGAAGACATATAATTATGTTGAATATGATGATGTCAACAATTACAACAATAGTATTAATACTTATAAGTACAATATGTTGTAGAAACAGCAAAACATACCGTACCATTAGGAAACTACATCACCAAAGCAATTTTTTAAGTGGCTTTTGTTCTGTCACTTAATCTTTATTGTTTAATGGGCCACTAATATTCCATTAACCAGGCTAAAGATGACTTTCCTTGAAACAACATAGTAAGAAAGGCACATTAGATAGATGTAATTCTTACGTTTGAATCAACAGTGACGTCATTTTATCAACGAATGTTTGGTTTTTTCCAGCCCATACTGACTGTTAGCGTAACAAGTTGACCTACCTCTTTGGGCACGTAACTTTTTCAGATAGTCAACAGTCATCTCAAGTATGTCGGCTTTTTCCCACTTCGCATGACCAGATGACTGGAATGGAACACTTCACTAGTTATTCGACAATGAGAAATGAAATACCGTCAGATTCTGTAAACGCAATAAATAATTATGAATTTAGGAACTTTAATAGCGTCAACGTCTCCTTCATTGATAAACTAACAAAAGGCTGATAAGAAACCTTATTCTGTTGATGTTTAGACGTCTTCGTCTTTCTCAGAGCCGATGACTCTAGTCGATGTCCACAGACTATCCTTTGAGGTAAACGAAGACGTCGAAACGTAAGGTAAATTACGTTGTTAGTACAAATAACCCTTGTTTGCAGATGAAACCAGTTTGAACAATGGAATGAACGAGTTTAGGCCACTACATGTTTGATCAAACCTATCTATAATACAACTTCAAATGTTCAGTGTTGATTTTCCATACAGACGTTCTTCATCAAAAAGTTGTTCTTGTGCCTATTGTTCTCATCGTACATCATGCCGATGCAGACTGTTTGCCTGCGAGTGCAAGGGCGATGTGGGCGGAATGAGAACAAAGTTAGGCGCTATCGAAAACGGCCCGAAACGCAATGATTTCTTACCTTGCTCCGCACTTTTTTCGATTTTATGTCACCATTATCTAGATGGTTTGAGTACTGTGTACGGATTCAGATTTAGAGTTTAGTGCGAAAAAAGCCATCAAGAAAACTAGTAGTGAAGTAGGAACCTTCGCTGAAACCTCAATTATTTGCAGTCTTTTGTGGTGCTGAAGATTTTTTGCTTTCTTTTAATTAAATTTCTTAGAAAACATAAACAAAATTTAAACAGAAGGCGTTTAAATACGTTAGTAGTTGGCGACGAGCATTTAGCTATATTCAATTCGGGCACGGTATACTCGATTCAGTGTGAAGTATCCCGGGACGAATATATGGCGAAACGAGTATGTCACCATGTATCCGTGTAGAAAAAACAGCTAGACGATAAGCGTGAAGTTAAACAAATTTGTCAACTAGGCTCGGATAGGGCACAGAGGCATAACAGGGAAGAATTTGAAGTAGAAGTCGCATTACTCGCACACGAATCTACAACTTCAGCATAGAAAAACATCGAAGCATTTCGAATAAATCACATAAATCTAACAATGAATTTCAGGGACGAATAACCAATTATTGCACGAGTTCTCACACAATATCTCAGACTGATATTTTTATCACAAAAAAGAGTCATCGTCCATCCAAATGAGGTCTGTGCGTCAGTCTCCACGTGAAATGCTCAGTGGAGGCCTCATAAAAAGCGGTGAGTGTGCGAAGAAGCTATTCTATTTCAATGCTACTGAAAATTAGATGTTGTGATTTCTCAAGTGCCAATCAAGGTGACCATTATAGACACTGAAGGAGGCAAAATCTGCCGAAACGTTAACTGTTGTGAATAGATGATATGTAATAACAACCTCGTGTGTGATAATCAAGAATATAGCGAATAAATATTCAACCACAGTGATGCTGAGATATTTTCGAAGCTCAGAACACCTCGAGCGCACGATGACCCTTTCCGGGGCTAATGTGTTGTCTCCTGTACCACTGCGACTCTTCTTTTGGCTCTCTCTAAGCTTGTTCTTTTAATCACAACGGTGCTACCAGTATTTATCCGTCAACAAGAATTATCTGGCGAATACAAATCGAAGTTGAACCCAGTTAAGCTGAAGCAGCCATCGAATTTGCAATGTTCAAGTCTTTATATAATTGGCCATGAAAATGGATGGCAAAGCAAAGGACTCAATGGTGAACTGGATAACACGTGGATACCGGAAGGATCACTTGCGGTTTCGAAGCTCTATTGGTGACTGACCTTTGCAAACACCTCAACAGTGCTGTTATTATTTTAACATAATACCCCAGCATGAAAAACACAGGCAGCGAATTAAAAAAGTTAAATAAATGCTCAGTTACATATTTTGGTAATGACTACTTTAGAGTCTTCCCAACGATTTACCGCCTTGGCTGGGAAATGTTTCTGGGTGTCGGGCTGCGATGTACAGCAAGGGGATTCATTCCCCTGGCAGGGTCTCCAAAGCTGAGAAAAAGTTCGGCGCTTCCATTAAGAAGTTTAGCTAAGAGTAGACCAATACCAGGATCCACCACCGTCTTGGCATTAAAATCGAATGGTGAAAAATCTCCCTCTGAACCACAAGGGCTGCGAGTGCTCGTGGTGGTGAAGACCTGGGGCAGACTTTGGCCAGGCTGGCCTTGGGATTTCAGGGAACCACAATGGCTTAATCAGCAAATCTCCGAAAAATGGAGATTATGCTAAAGCCCACACAATTGGTGAGGATGGGCTATTCAAGTATCAAGTAAGTAAATATTCTAGAATATTAATCAGAAGTGAGTTTCACAGTTTGATGCTTTTGTTATGTGACTTTCGCTTTGCAAAATTTTATTTCGACCTAACTCAACTATAGAAAGATAGCATTGAACAACCCTCTCATTTTACATTTTTTTTTACCATGTGATCTAATCGTGGTATAACAGAAGCTATGAAGACGGAGTGACATATGGACTTCACGCATTCACTTACATGGAACACGTCATGTAACTAAGTAAAACGTTTTTCTTGTCTACATTTATTATAGAGATTGAGATTATTGAATCCCTCATGGTTTATTGGCATCAAAAATGGATGCATGAACTTTATGGTCTATAATGATAGTAAACAGCATTAAGAGTTGTATAGAGAGGACTACGACAACATAGCTTATGGATAGTCGCGAATAGTTGTGTTATATAGACTAATGCTTTCCAAAGATCAGTCCGTAAGTATAAAGAACCTCGGAGACTTCTTCAGCAGTCATGTGCTCTAACTGAACCTAGGACACACATGTAACATGCGCGTTTTACTGTTGAATTCAGTACAATTCAGGCGATACACACTGCTCATAGAAATATTATAACGCATTCAGCTTTAATGTCGGCTTCACGATAGGATAACTGACACGGTGTCCCATCCACGAGAGCTCAAATGAGGAAAGTGAGTAAAAGAATTCTGAGAAGAATTCCTGTTACATTCAGTTACATTCCTAACTTCTATCCTTTTATTCTAACTGTTGTCGATCAATACTCCCTAGCGAAATAATGTCATACTGTCACCAAAATGAGAATATGGTTTATTCTTTTTGTTCGTGAAAACATAATCACGTGCTAGATAAACAAAAGCTTAAAACTGGACAGAAAAGATTTATTTAATAAGCTCAAAAATCCTACAGATATCATTGAATTTAAAAAATCTGAAGTTTTCGGAGCTACGGCAATTTCCTCTCAACGGTTTACCGCCTCATCGTGGTTTAGAGATGCTTCTGGGTGTCAGGCTGCGATGGATAGCGGTGCGATTCATCCAACTGGGAGGGTCTTCCAAGCTGAGAAGGAGTCCGGCGTTTCCATTAGGAATCCCAACTAAGGGTAGGCCATTACCAGGATCCACCACCGTCCTGTTATCAAACTAGTCGCATGGTGGCAAATCTTCCTCTTATCCACAAAAGCGAGACTGAGTGGCGTGGTGACGACCTGGGGGCAGACTTTGGCTAGGCTGACACCGGGATTTCAGGGAACCATAATGGCTAAACAAGGAAAACCCCGAAGAAATGGGAATTGTGCTGGAACCCGCACAACGCGTAAAGGAGAGTCGCCCCAGTGTCTAAGTAGATGAGTTTGGCAATTTACTGCAAAAGTAGACCTCATTCTAAAAATTCCGTTGAGCATCCATGGGTGTTAAATCAACTTCACCTAGTCTTGAAGTTCATGTCTTATTAGATGATTTACTCTGTGCGAACCATATAATAATGAAGCATCAGACAACTTGATAAAGTACACTTTACAGTAAGCTGAAGAAAAAAGATTCATAAGAATTTGAAGGGCATAAGGGCTCTGTAAATTTCTGAAATGGATGATTTCCGTGTGTTTGTGAGCGTTCGAGGGACGAGTTGCCGTTTATAGATCTGGCGTCGTATGTCGAAACGACTATCAGCGCTCGATAACAAACACTTCCAAAGCAGAATAATCGATGTCGTTTCATATTCTAGGGTGGCGTGTTCGCTATGAGACGACTAAAAGGGCAAATTATTAATTTAACAGGATCGTATGCAATGGCAGGTTAACTGGAATCACATCCATTCCACTCACACCGCTGATTTCCTAGCCGAACGACTCATCAACAAAACGATGATAAACGTTTAAGATTCTGAATTTTTTAAAGAAATAGTGCTCCAGATGACGATCGCGGTGATGACGAAAGATATAGATGTAGACCAGATCTGCTAATTCACGTGGACAATGAGATGGTGCCCGCATATCAGTAGCCTAAGGCAAAAGCAATGAAGAGAATAGACAGAACTAATCTTTGCTCAAAGAAGGACAACTTAGTCAGTTTCGTCAACAAAGGGGAAAAATGCAGTCCTAGGAGCAAGTTTTTCACCTCCTCCTCGTCATAGCAATTTTCAGCTGTCAAAAATGTCGCCTCATCTATTGAAATAATACCTGCACTGATATGTTCTTATGAAAGGAAAATTAACGCTAGTATTCATAAAGAAAGTGCAAATCTGCAAGATGATGACATAATAGAAAAAAACAATTATATAAAAGCATTAATCAGATGTAAACTTTATGAGTGGCTTCAAATTGTTCAGAGGAACTTAGCTAACTTATTCTCCCACTTAATGGAAAAACTGTTCCGCTGTTTCGTGACGTCAGCTTATCGCCTACACCTAAGTACGGACTTAGTGCTGAGCGTAAGGTAAGCAAAATGGCCTCACCTATATTAATCGCTGCCCGATGTGTAACATGGTATGGCGTCTGTAAAATATCTATTCGTTCATATCACACACCAAAGCTGCGCAGTAGGTTCCGCTTACTCAAGAAAAAGGGACAGGACCACACTTTTGGCATGATGCAAAGTATATGTATTGATTCGATTATTGATTCGAATAAGTCACTAAAACGTGATATGGCTCTAAACCCATTTTCGGCAACAAAGTAGCCGTGAACGTATGTTAACTCTTAACAATGCCTCCCGATGACAAGGCGGTGCTCATTCTCTGAAAGCGCCGCTCTGGGGAAAAATTTTTGAACGCACCTCGAAGTTTGCCACCCACACGCACAGTTGAATGCAAAGGAACCATTATTGTCAGAGATCACATAAAAGTACCAGTAAGTAAACGATGTAAATGTTTCGGTTGTATAGAATAAGTCACTAAAACGCGATATGGCTCTAAACCCTTATAGAATAATAGATTAAGAAAAACTTAAACGAGGCTCTTGAGACAAGTCTGTCGGCGATATTTCTAGCCTACGACATTTTTTATTGGATGGTGGCACTAAATCAATACAAACAAAAAGCAGTGCTGCAGTAACAGATCTAGGAGGGAACCGAAAACGCTTACTGGTCTGATGAATAACGAAAACCCACCGCGTGTTTATCACAGATGAGAATTTCCTTCAGTTCACTTAAACATTGATTGATTCGTGCACGACGTTTCTTCTCCATCATCGGCTTGTTAGTCTGAATAAATCGATGAAGAATCAATACAGATCATCTGGTTCGTGTCATATTTAAAACGTCTCTTGTTTCACTCTAACTATTTTCGATAATCTACATTTAAGCGCAAATCATCCGACATCGATCACATTTCACTTGAAATCAGGAATAGCCGTTGAGCCGTAGCTGCTTCTTTAAAAGTTTTCTCATAGGAAAATGGCAAACGGAAAATCCCGGAATTTCATTGGGATTACGATAAACTAAAAATTCCAGGATTTTATTGGGATTTTTTCTTATGTACAGCAATTTCTTTTTCTCTTAAAGTGATCGGTAAGCGTCTTGAAGATCAAATCATAGAACAGAAAGCGGTGAATGCAACTAGCCTTTTTCACATGGGCCCCTCTCTCATCGCTGGAAAAACTCTCCACATCAGAATACATTCTGAAACAACGAACAGTATTCTTTGACAAGTTAGAGAAAAACATACAAGTTCTATACGTAAGAGCAGCTGTAGCAGCTGCTCATTCAAATTAACAAGAAAGATAGTTATGTGTTGAACTTTCAGTGAATTTCCGGCTGCTGGACCTTCAGTACAGCCAGTACTGGACGCTCTTCTTCAGGAATAATGAGCAAAAAAGAAACCGCGAAAAGAAAAGACGCACATGGAGAAGAAATCATAACTGTTCGAATTTCTATGCTCAAAACTCGATCAATATTCGTCCTAACAATGTTGGAACATTGTGACCAGAGTGATCCACTTTATATTTCACTGCTGAAGTCGCTGAGACTCAAATTTCATAAGACAGCATCGGTACTGTTGTAGCTCTGTGTTTCATTGCTTGTTCCACTTTGCTTATAGTCGAATATTCGATTCGAGGTTCGAATATAATACTGGTTGAAGTCTGGTCACATGAATCAGAAGCAGGAAAAGAATCCGGGAGCTTTTTTATTGAGTAAATTTTTCGAATACTTTAAAGCCAAAGTCCCTCTATCATTCAAATATTGAGAAAAAAGGTTCATAGAGCATTTCTACAAGCACATAAAACACTGCAGGTTCTATCCAGTTCTCAAAATCATCCCACTCTTTGAATACTAATATTTTCTATTCTATTTAATATGATCTGTCTTCACGTCTTCTATGCGGATCCCAGCACTTCTCACATTCGACTCGTTCCCACGCATCCACCGTCCACTAAGGTCTTCCAACTTTTACTCGTGGCTTCGACTGCTTTTTGAGGATTTTTAATTAATCTTGAATGTTATAGAATTCTGGTCAAGCAATTCTCCCTGGAGTCCTGAGATATATGAGCTGGAACGTTTCCAGTAGTATTGCAGAGAGTTCTTTTTTTTTCAGCACAAGTCCGGTACTAATTTTCCGACACCGGAGAGATAAGAGGCTTGGTAACCTCGGAGCAGGATGGAATGAGCACCGTTTTCATGATGAGAGAAATCATTACCACAGTGATATCTCTGTCTCACTTCTAATATGTGATATAGAACAACTTGTTTCGCCGTAGAGTAGATCTGGATTCACGGTACCACATTCCTTGGTGTTCCACTAGTTTTTCAAGAGCATCATAAATTGCACGGTTTTCTTATAGACGGTGAATTGTGCCAGATAATCGAAGAAATATGTGAAGCAGCGTAAAAGGTCAACGACAACTAGTGAATCCGATACATTTGATCAGTGCCGCGATTTGATTGCTGAAATCGACGCCATCGAAGCAGTCCGGCTTTCATGAACATCATTTCCTTCCCAGAAACTGCCTTTGATAAGCCGACACACTGTTGATAGCTCGATTCCTGATGGCCAACACGCCACTCCGCATTCTTCAGAGCCGTTTTCTTTTTCTAAAAATTCTGTTCGCAGAGTCATCTTTTCGTGTACAATAAGAGTTCTGAATAATAAGTGAAAATCATTCAGATTGAAAATTAACCAAATACAGGGCCAAGTCACAGTTATAGTGAGGTCTTTGTCTTTTTTGATTTTGCATCTTGCTGAGCTCATTAACGGCTGTAGGTATGGAAAGATAACTGCTCCATTGCTAATGCTGAAGTTAACTTAAAGTCTTAGTTCCAATTCGTGGCTCCAAAATGCTTTCATTACGATTTCGTTTAAAGGCTGTTCGAAGGAGTAAATTGAAATGATCTACAATTAGCGAGTACCGAGGTGTTAGAGATGCCGTCCATCAAGAAGCAGGTGATCAACTCATTCCGAAACCGCTCCTCTAGTCCACATGAGCACGCATTTGTTTCGCTAACTCCAAGATTGCAAAGAGCGCAACCGACCAACATTCTACTACGTTCACGAAAAAAAACCGAAATCTGCAGGTGGCGAAGCAATGTGCGATGTGTTCGAGGACACTTGTTGACGACGAATATGAACAAAACGAATCGAATAGAAGAAGTGCTGGGATTCTCGCACTTGATGTGACGACGGGTCATATAGAATAAAACAATACATGGTGAAGGTCATGTAGTGTTAATGCTCAGTATATTCAAACCAGTTATGGTTTGCTCCACAAACATAAAGAATGAAAAAGCTACGCTAGTTAAAAGAAAACCAAAATTCGTCCCAGAAGTGGATCTCAAATTTCTGCCGGACGATTTAAACCACATTTTTTTCTTCTTGTTTTTCCTATACTTTTCACCTCTTTTTTTTCTTGATCTCTTACACTCAGAGTAATGGAAAAAGCGCAGTGACCATGAATTTCATAAGGAAAATATCACGTCACTTACAGAACGTGAGGTGGTTCATTGAAACAAAATCAAAAAATAAAAAGAAAAAAGTGCCATGTGAAGTGTAAAAATGGTCGGACGATAAGAGGGACAGATGCTGAAGTATTTTTTATTAATGTGTCGTTTTCTTGTTCAGCAATCGCGAGGTTTTTAAACAGCATACATTTACTTCCATAGAAAAACACAATACAATATAACAGTAGCTGACGTTTCGGCAGTATCGCCTTCTTCAGAGCCTGGAAGGGCATGCTGATATACAATCTACTAGGCCAAACGCTTCAATAACACAAAAGGACGAAAAACTCTCCGGTAATTACACAATCAACAACTTCTCGAAAAACCCACCGCTTTTTCGTGACTTCCAATGAGGAAGTTTAGAACAGCTGATTATAGTCGCATGTGGTTGACGACTGCACCATCCCACATCAAAAATCGATGCGAACGTACGGGATCAGGTCGCGTATGACCTCCGGGCATTCGTCCCTGCTATTCATTGTAGGGTTTTTGGCATTGATCCAAAAAGCCTCTAGGAGTTTTCGCGCTGGTGTTTTGGACTCCTGTGCAAGGATATTGACTTTTACTTCAAAATCGTCTCCGCTATGCTTTTGTATCCTATGCGTGCCTAGTGGGGTGCTTCGTCATAGTTTTCGTTTGCCATCTAGGTGTATTTTTTATTTGCAAAACTTTTTCTCAAAAAGTATATTTGCAAAACTTGGACCCTTGGTCAGATTGGAACCCGCCCTTTTCAAGGGGCTGACGTGTTACCCATCAATGAGGCCTTTGCTTTGCCATCCTGTAACGGGGATGGGACGCGAGTTTTGGAAATATCACAGCATCATAGTCGTTGTATTTCACTCCATATCTTGCCGTGAAAAAGCTGCAGTAGGCGATAAATAAAAGATTGGCATTGTAACCAGTAAAACAGTTGCGATACTGTATGAACTTGTAAATGACTTCCTTTTCGTCACAGAGTTATTTTCAATGGGTAAATTTTCACTTTTTCGCTGCATAGAAACTCCATGTTTTACTTCTAGCGAGTTTCTTACTCTTCTCTCTAAAGGTTTTCTTCACATGAATTTCTTACATTTTTCTAGGCTGTGAAAAAGACACAATCGTTATTTGCTTTTAATTAAGAAGGCATTTCAATCATAGAGAAAGAAGCATTACTTGTTACTGTAAAATTTTTTTGCGGTATGTAATTCTCTTTAATTTAGATAAACTAGATGAAAGACAGGCGAAACGAAGGACCCGCATCGTGCGGTGGTGAACGCGTTAGCCTCCGGAAAGGGTAATAGCGCGTTCGTTCCCCACCGCAGACACCTGCGATCCAGTGTTTTGCAAATATCTCAGCATAATTGTCGTTGAATCACACATAACACTCTGCCGTGTAAAGATGTAATAGGCAGTAAATAAAAAGTTCACATTCCCTTTAATTTCTTTTTTATTGGAATGTTTCCCGACACATGTTTAGACAAATAAGCCAAAAATACTTGATCAAACTCTGAGATGGTCCTAGATAAATTCAAAAACGGATGCAAAAGTTTAAGCAAGAGCTTAAACTTGAACGTTGATGTCTTATGTGGATGCGAATCAGAATTTGTTGATATGAGTAGTGAAAAATAGGGGGTGAAGAAAATTAAAGGAAGGATTCAAAAGAAAAAATCTGAAAGTTTGAGTAATCGAAATGCTAAAGCTACTGAAATGTTTACATGGCGCTCTAGTTCGAATGCAGCGAAGGAAAGCTGATTAAAAAATAAAACGGCTCTTAAGGAAAATAAAAAGAAACATGGGATTTTAGTAAAACTAAATGGAGCGACACTAGGCTTTGTAGAAAAAAAATTGTAGTATTAAAACTTTCCAAGTTCTAGTTAGAGTCACTATGTAGAGAATAGCAAACGGATATGATTTTTTATGGATTTAGCCAGCTGACCGTGATCTGCGCTATACCGTAACCCGTCAGTGATACACGTCGTCAGACGGTCACCACTGATTTCACACGAAGAGGGAGAGGGATTCCTTATCGCTACGAGCAGTAATCTTTCATGCAACCGACTCTTCATTCAAAACAAAGTCATGCCGTTACCGTAACCAACCAACTATCACACCATAATGAGCTCGCAAACACTTGAATTTGAATGGAAGAACGCTGTCATTCTCCTAAAGGATAATGAGAAGTTGGGTTGGCAAGAAAAAGCATTTCTTAAGAGATAATAGTAAAACAATAGCGGAAAAGATTAACTTCATTGTCAATAGATGGCTCATGTATTGTTTTC